CCTCGTCGGCACTTGGCTTGCTCAGCCTAGAGGGTTGAATAATTGCCAATAAGATCCTGTGATTGAAGTCTTATTGGATTACGTTGCTTGCCCATGGAGTGTTGGCGCAGACATGAGTATAACCCTAAACCCGAATTAGAAGTGACCCGCACCATCCCAACTCCTTCCCCAAGCGTCCAAAGGATCCAATAATAAGGTACTCTGGTTACGGAAAGTAGCTATGCAGGTTAATATTTGGAAGAGTATATGATTATTATGTACTTGGACCCTTAGGGCTTGAGCTGACATGGAGAAGCGCATCAGGCACCAAAGCCGTAACCCGAGGCCGCAGCCCGGCATCCCCAGAGACTCCAATATCCCTTAATTAAGGAATATTCCTTGACTCATATCAGGGATCCTATTAGAATTTAAGGAATATCCCCTTCATTAAGGAATAATGGAGTCTCTGGGTCGCTAGACCCCTTAAAGGAACGCTCAACCCTAAACCCTTAAAGGAACCCTTGTAGGTACATAGGACCCTTTGGGCCCACCTATAGTGGAATCCAGAAAGTTGGAACCTCGTTATCCTCATACATTTAAGGTAATTAAAGAAAAGGCAATCCTCGCACTAGTCATCCTAAACCCATGTTCCAAGTTTCTGGGGTTCACTATATAGCCTGGGCGTTCTTCTGGTTGGCTCTTAGGACTAACTTTTTGGGTTTCTATATGGACTACAATAAGGGGGCTAAAAGTTTAACTATTGGTAGGAGGGGTTCAGAAGTCAGCCAAGTACTTAAGGGTTGAGGAGTGTCAAACCACAAACCCAAGTCAGAGCCCCGGCAAAGCTTACCAAAGTACAGCTTGGCAATCTGCACCCCTGAGCTATATTAAACCCTTCCAGAACTCTCTGAAACCCCGAACCTCCAAACCCTACGCACAAATCGAGAAGTGTACCAAAAAAACGGCCCTGTGTTTTACATCATGTCGTCAAACCTTAGACCCGAAACCCTTTAGCCCTCAACCGGCCCTGTGCATTACGTCATGGCTCTAAACGTAAAACCCTACATACTAAGCCCTCGACCGCCAGTGTGTAATATACCATGGCTCTAAACGCAGAACCCTAAATCCCTAAGCTCTCAACCGTCAACCGGCAGCATGGCTCTAAACGCACCTCGTAGAATTCTATATATGAACCACAAAAAGGAACTACTTTTCGGCCTATGGAATAAACCTTAAGGGCTCGATCTGAGGTGGGCCATGCAGTTCCTCGAGGAGACCGAGAGGCTCTAGCGTCCCTGGTTGAAGTTCATGGATGGTGTTTGGACTTAGGGTCTAGGGATTAGGGTTTTTGGATTTAGGGTTTGGGGTTTAGGGTTTGTGGATTTTGGGTTAATGGTGTTGGTTGGGTTCGGAGGTTTAGCGTCGCGGGTTTATTGTCTAGGGTCTAGGCCTTTAGAGTTTTAGGATTTAGGCTTTGGGGTGTTGGGGGTGTTGGGGGTGTTAGGGTGTTAGGGTGTTGGGGTTAATTAAGGCTGTTCAGAGCTCTAGGTTGAGACTCGCCAAAGGTGGCAAGAGGCGACGGAGGCCAAGCTCAGGAGGGAGCTGCAAGAGGACGCTAAGCATCAAGCATCCCGAAAGTAATGACAGTATAAAAGCAAGACTTGTAGCAGCGGTAGACTACACTAAGGATAGTATTGATATTAGCAAACGTTAACATTCCCATAAAGTCATTATGATAATGATAGCTTAGAGGCTGCCCCCACCCTGTAATAGTGGCTATAAGGATTATAGTAAGGCCCGATTATACTCCTATTTATACCACTGTTACAGGGTGGGGGCAGCTTCTAAATGATAGCCTTTGCGATTCGAGGTAGAGGCTGGCGTGGAAGCTCGGATTGCAGATGACAACTTGGAGGATCATGGGACGTAGTAACAGTTGAGGATATAAATCCTGAATTATACCTTAAAGACCCTAAACTATGGGAATTATGGCATAGTCCTTATTATGGGTCATGCAGGATTTATATCATCAACCGTAAGTAAGGTTCCTGAAACTGTTCCTTAAGCTAAAGAGATGTATAAGAGTTTTTATATGGGATGTATGGGACTTAATATATAAGTGAGGCCATAAGTCCCTTAACTGGAGATATAAGTAGTTATAAGTATATTTGCTTCAGTTATATCCCTAGTTAGTAAGTCCCGTGATCCTCTAAGCAAGCCCGGGGTGCAGCACTCCCTCTCGTGAGCTGCTGGGCTCGCTGCAGCAGTTTGGGGTTTAGGGTTTAGGGGTTACCAGGCGGGCATATACAAGTCTGTGTGCAAAAGAGGTTAGGGTTTAGGATTTGGGTATTAGGGTTTAGCGGTTTAATTAGGGGTTTAGGCTTTAGGGCTAATGCAGCACAGTCGGCGCCTCGGTTCCTGGCATATGCATAGTCCAGGTGTAAAATGGCTGATGCAGCAGCAACTGGCGAACGTGCAGCGTATGGCGGAGAACTTTCACGGCTGCGCATGAGATGTCCTGGGTTAGTATCAGAGAGACCCCTTAAAGGGGACCCTTCTTAACCCTATTTCTGGCTCTCTTACGGGACCTTATTTAGAGGGTCTAAATCCGCGAGGGGTCCCCTGATCCCAACTCTTAAGATGCTGTCTAAGAGCCCTGCTCCCAAGCCTGCTTTAGAAGGCCTTGCCCCGCTACACTATACGATATGCCGGTAAACTGGTCAACAATCCCGTTCCTTCAAGAAGACGGGTTGTAGGCAGGGATCTTCCGGGCTCTTCAACTAGTGGGTTTAGCTGTGTCCCGTCACACGGGTTCAAGAAAAGGGTTTGGGGTTGCAGGGTTGAGGGTTTAGAGTTTGGAAGTTTAGGGGTTCATTCATCCTCTGCCTACAGTACCTTATAACACTTAGTATTAGTAACGATCGAAAGTCATGACAGGGCAGTGGGGTCTCTGAGGTGCGACATGTGTAGATTCAGGACATGTGCTCAAACATGTGATTGGGAGATGTGTATGGAGGGACGACAGACGCTCAACGCAGCATAGTAGCCCGAACGCCCAAGCCGAAGCCGAAAGCCGTCAACCCTACTTACCCTACTTGTAACTTCCAACCTAGGCCCGCTCGGGAGCGTATCCCGCATAGAAGTTCATTACCCAAAAGGTAAACCCTAAACTCTTAAACCCTAGCCCTTGACCCTAAACTCCTTCAGCTGGGCGGGTGGCAAAAAACCTTGAACTCTAAACTGAACAGATCCAACGTTAAACATTCCCCGTGGCAGTTCGGCACGCTGCTGGTATGGAGCATCTGTCGCAGACTCGGTGATGGACTCTTCCCGGTTTCGGGTGTCGGATTTGGGACTTACCGCAAATTAGGGGTGCCTCATTTTGCGGTCCTGATAATAAGGACTTAAGGATCCTAGTTTTTAGGGTACTATATTAGCGTCCCCTATTTTCGGAAACTCCCATTTTAGAGAGTTTTCAAAGAATAAAAAACCAGATCGTAGTCCGAGTTGAACCATGCATGGAAAACAGGAAAACACCGAAACCCGTAAGTATTCCGTAATGCAAGACCCTCAATCTCAAGTCTTGGCACAAACCCTATCACTATATTCACCCTAGGACTCTGGAAGTTTCGGGTTTAGGGTGTATGCCCTACGTACACCTTCAGCCTAGAGACAGACTTCATATTGCTGCCGAAGCATCGGCAGTCGCTGCCCTCAAATATGTTCTTCCATATACAGGTTCGACGAATCAGCGCTCTATATCATATATACATATTCAGCGTGCTCTTCCCCAAAACCCTAAACCCTAAACCTTACCTTATTACCTTCTTACAGTCCAGAGTCCAGAATACCGCTAAGCTCGGAACCCCAAACCCGTCATGTAGTATTGGCTCAGCCCCTAGAACTCTAACGCCAAGCCTCAGTCGAAAGATGGTTTAAGGCTAATCAAGTGGGCCCTTGATTTGGCTGAGTTTTGATCTTTCCCTCACAGCTCCGTCAACTTCTGAACCTTCCAGTAGGGTGGTTTTTGCTATTCGGGTTTGGCGAGCGTATGCTGAGCCTTCTACAGAAATTGTGGCCGGCGTGTGGTCAGATTCCATTTGGTGGGATGCTGGCAATCCACGCCAACCATAACAATAAGTCTTCTGACTAATGGGCACAGTCATTCAGTACTGCCAGACACCTCAGCTGTAGCACTTATTACCTATTCCTTATCATGGGCCACGCAAGATTTGTTCAACTCCCCCCTAACCTGCTCGAACTGGTGTGGGAACACTCACGAGCAAAAAGGGGAAGGAAGAGGGGAGGGAGAGGAGCAGGAGGAGGCGGAGGAGGAGGGAGAAGCGGAGGAGGGGGAGGCGGAGGAGGAGGAGGAGGATGAGGAGGCGGAGGCGGAGGAGGAAGAGGGGGTGGAAAGCACACGCCAGAAAAGGCCGGAGGAGGAGAGGAGACAACGAGAGGAGGAAGAAGGCCAGAGGCAGAGGGAAGAAGAGGAGGGGGTACTGTACTGTTGACAGACTGAATTAAAGTTGGTTCAGCATTGTGGGTTTGTAACTGTGAGACCAGATGAGTTGCAGCAGCGAAGAGACTACCGATAATGACCAACAACAGTAGGACCTTTATGTTAAAGAGCCGCGGAGCACACCCCTTGAAGAGACGGCAATGTGGAACTGCAGGAATAAATGCCTGCAAGACGAGGATGGCGTGAATTATGTTTTAAGTTAGGGTAGGCCCTGGGGCCTCGTGTGATACATCTGTGATGCCGTTGGCGTCAAACTCAGCAGTAGTCGTAATGCTGGAAGGAAGACCCTCCCCAGCGCTAGACGGCAGAGTGAAAACTCTGGCAGCACAGCATGGCTGCGGGCAGAAAGCGGGCGCGGCCCCAGTAGTGCCTTAGATCCCCAATACCCAACCTTTAAACTTTTGGGTTCTTGTAGTTTAGTAGGAATCGGAAAGTTTAATCTTTGATTTCTGTGGCTTATTGGGGGAGTAAGGTGCTGATGAGCGAGGCTTGCCGTGCTATGCAAACCTCGCCAAAGTCGGCAGCAACGGAAGGCAGTATGCCGAGCACTTCGAATTCAATGCTGACTCCTTTTGGGTCGCCCACCGCGAGCGTCGGCATGGGCATGGAGGCGCTAGAGGAAGTCAACTTCGAGGATACGAGCCGGGAGGTGCAAGAATGGAAGCCACAAGACTTCGAGTTTCAAAGAACTTTAGAGAGACCAGGTGGCATTTTGAGTTACATATCTTATTCACGCCGCCTACATGTCAACCTAGCTAGCTAGCTAGCTACCTACCTACCTCACTCCTACTCACCTGCCCATTTATATATATATATATATATACACACACATGCACAACATACATGCATGCGTATACATACAGACCTACACGCCTACATTCGTGCATGCATACATCCGTCCGTCCGTCGGTCCGTCTGTCCGTCCATGCATGCAAAATCACAGATGCATAAACCAATACATGCGTGCATGTATGTTTGCGCAATTTGCAATCGTGTTTGGTTGTTATCGTGTGTTCTTGCTTCTTTGTTCACTTGTGCTCGTGTTGTTTCGGCCCTGTAGTCAGAGTCTAACGTCGAGCTACCTATTCCTGTCGTGTTGGGTTAGCTTAACTTAGGGGTCCTTTGAAAAGGTTTTTAATTTTTGGTTATTATAATCCCTAAGAAACAGCTAAAATTATTATTCTTGGCTAGGGTTCTAAGTTCAGTATAGTTAACTTAAGTTCAATCTTGAACCTTCAGTTGCAATTCGAGGAGAGCGGGTCGCAATCAGGGCACCGTGGACTTAATGAAGCGCATCAACGACGGCAGCTTCGTCGCAGTCACTGGGCCGTTGTTGAACAACAGGTTTAGGAGTTTAGGATGTGGGTGGTTGTCAAAATTATGGTCCCCTTTTTGGGTCCCTATTATAGTACGGCACCTAATATTTAGGGTACCCCAAAAGGGGCCATAATTTTGACATCCGCCCATGTAGTTGCATTGCAGGCCCTGCGCCGAAAAAGGTATTTAGTTGTGCACAGAACCAAAGCCGCGCCAATCGCATAGAGTTTAGGGTTTTTTGGTGTGGTAAAACTTTGCATCCTTAAGCACGAGGAAAATTGTAAGGCCTAGGGTTTTTGGGCGTGGTAAAACTTGCATACTTAAGCAGGAGGAAGACAATTTTCAATGCCTCCAAGCGCGACTCAGGTCAAGGTCATGCCAATCTCCTGGACCTGTACAGGTGCCCTGGGGTAAGTCGCATGTTTCGCTGGCTTTCAGTAGTTAGTGTCGATGATTTTTGGTATGCATGTTCTTCTTATGCGCGTGGACCCTTGATTAATGAAAGCTTCTGTTTGGAGGGCATCAGATTCTGTTTGACGAAGGGTCTTTTTATCATGGTCGGCATCAGAGTTCCTACTTGGAGGCTCAGGGGTAGTTGTAAGTGGTGTTATAAGTCCCCTAACATGGATTATAAGTATAGTTGCCGTGCTTATAACCCTACATGCTTATGACCACCCTAGACCCTAAGCCCTATACAACCGTTATAGGAATCCTATAACGCTACTTGGAACTACCCATGAGCCTCAAAGTAGCTCCCTGTGAAGGCCACCAGCAGCATCTCCGGGATCACCCCGAGGATCCCGAGAATCCTTGGGTGGACCTGGGCATTGTGCCTTTGTCATATGAGCCGTGGTTTTTTCCGCGCTTCTTTCATTATGAGTAGGCCTGGAAATACGTATGTTGAAGGTTTAGGGTTTGGGGGCTTAGGGTGCAGGGTTAGGTTTTGGGTATCATTTCACATGTTTATGGGTTCTTAAACCCAGCGGAATTGTGCCTTGGCATTCTTCTGGTTGGCTCTTAGGACTGTAGTTTTTGAGGTTTCTATACGAACTATAATCAGGGGGCTACACGTTTAACTTTTAGGAGGGGTTCAGAAGTCAGCCAAGGTGCGGTACCTGAGCAAGAAGGGAGCCACGTTCTTGTGCCACTCGCATGGCATTTTTCGAGATAGCGCGTGGCTGTACTGCGTCTCCGAATTCGCAACAGACGCTTAGCTAGGCTCTTGAGTAGTACCCTTTTGCCGTTTCCGTTTGGGGTTCTCCTTGTTAGAACTGAATACTCGGGAAAAGGGTACCCTTACTACTGAGGAACCTAGTTAGTCAGTTAGTAGTCGAGCAAGTAACCTTTGAACTTTTTTGCAGGCAGCAGAAACCGGTCAAGAATCCCGAAGGTCTGCCTGTCTGTCGTCCCTTGAAACCCTGGAGCCTAAACCATTAAACTCTGAACCCTCAACTTCTCAACGTTAGTATCGAAGCGCCCCCAAGGCGGGATGAAGATAGGTGAGATGTACCCCAAGCCCATATACAAGGGAACCCTCTTCCTAGCTACCTTCACCCCACTTTTTGATGTTTTTGACAATAAGGAGGGCGATTTCTTCAGCTTTGTGAGCCGTGGACCGGAACCGGGTCCCCGGAGGGAAGACGCGCTGAGGCCCTTCATGGTGCAGCTGTTCTCGGCCATGAGATACTTACCCGTACTTAAAGGATCATGGGACTTAGTAACTAGGGTTATAAGTAAGGTAACTATACTTATAACCCCAATTAAGGCACTTATAACCTTACTTACAGGGTCCCATGATCCTCCAAGTACTCCAAAAGCACCAGGTTTTTACGGCGATATGTAAAGATTTCGTAACGAGCACGGAGATTTTGGTGGCCACAAGGAGTACTGTAATTAGTAGAGGACGTAACTTTTGTTCATTTCGGGCCATTATCATCATAGTCTTGAGCCTTCAATTCCCCGAAGAAACTGCACAAGCAAGGATATCTACATGATCACTACATCGCCCACTGCGACGTCTCCATGGAGAACTTCCTGGTCACCAAGAACTCCACGGATGGCCGTCTCGAAATAAAGGTCATAGACTTTAGCATGGCCGTTGTCGGCGAGAAGCTGATTTGCGGTTATCGCGGGAAGCCTTCCTATAGGGCTCCAGAGATGGCGGTAGCCCCTTTATACGATCCTTTTCTAGCAGATTGCTTCGGCATGGGAGTGATCCTCTTCTCCGCTGCAGCGCGGACCTACCCGTGGATGTCGACGATTAAGGGCCGATGCAAGTGCTTTGACTATGTAACTAGGTCCCGCAGCAAGAGCCTTTTTGCTTCATTAAAACACCTCAGTCGTAGTATTTGCTAGTTAGTGTTGCTATGATTCGAAAGGCGATACCCATAGGGGATACTGGAAACCAACCCGCAACCCTAAACCCTCCAAGGTACTAGACCATGGCCACCGAAAGTTTTGGAAGACCAGGAAGATCAAGAAGACTCAGCCCACTCAAAACGTTCATCAGTGCTTCTCAGAGGAGCTGAAAGTGCTCGCAGAAGGGCTTCTGAGATCTGAAGCACTCAACCTTGTTCTTATAGTTTAACAATCTATTTCTGTGTCTTCTTGCGGGAGTTTCGGAGAATAGGGGACGCTGATTAGGATCCTTAATATCAAGACCCCAAAATAATAAAGCTTCCCTCATTTCGGAAACTCCAAAACACTTATAGAGCCCTTAAAGGAAGCCTTGTGGTAACCCTTTAACAGAGCCCTAAGCCCTACTTTCGGAATCTTCCCTTGTGGAAATAAGGCTGCTTGCCCTGGAGCCTTCGGCGCGTCTTTGCATGGAGGAGGCGGTTTGTCACAGCTGGCTCCATGTTGACGAAACCGTGACCCACACTCCCTTTGGTGGCAAAGCTCAGGGGCACAAGGACGGTTGATGATATAAATCCTGCATGACCCATAATAAGGAATATACCATAATTCCTATAGTTTAGGGTCCTTAAGGTAATTAATGCAGGACTTATATCATCAACCGGAGTAGGGTTGAGGGTACAGATTTTGCGAATTAAGCTCGTGCACGCCAAGCAGTGGCGGGAAGTCAACCAGTTCCCATTTTCCAGCGACTCCGAAAGCCGCTCCAAAAGGAATACTATGGAATGCCTCTATGATGATGTTCTTAGTACATAGGTTCTTAATGGGGCCCTAGCCGAAGGGATCTCCTATCGCAAAGCCACCTTAGCGTTTTTCCGAAGTACACTTACGTAGTAGACCTCAGTAGTAGAGTAAGTGACCGTTAACCAGTTTGGGATACCATAATGAGCCCTGTGTACTCCGAAACTGTTGACCTGTTTTAGTTCCGCTAGGATACTGGACAAGCAATCGTAAGTTAAGGGATATTGGAGTCTCTGAGCCCTAAGCCCTACCTTAACACCGAAATGTAAGCAAAGCAGTGGTTCAACCCCTGTAAAAGGCTGTTATTCCACATAATCTGGGGGTCCAGGGGAACCCTTAGCCTTGAAGTTAAGGGACATCGGAGTCTCTGAGTTTCAATTGTCATCATGTACATTTGGGGGCTCGTCTTCGACCCCGCGAAGGTCCGGTATTAAAGGCTTCCGTCGTCCACCTTGATATGCTTGGTCTACCCTAGAAGCTTTGAGCTTGTTTTGCGCCCGGCTATTCAAGAAGAGAGCTTTTGAGTCACATAGAAACCTGAATAACTACCCGCAAGCTTAGGCTTCCTTTTATGCTGAGATGCCCTAGAACCCAATTCCAATTATTGCGGAGCCTGTATTCATAGTCGTAGGCCCAGAGAGCCCAATACCCCTTAATGAGAAGCAATATACCTTAAACTATAAGGGGTTCATATTATGATTTAAGCCATATTCCTTCATTAAGGGGTATTAGAACACCTAAACTAGATCCCTTAAAGAAGCCCTAGCTATATTCCTTAATTAAGGGGTGTTGGGCTCATTGGGCTCTCTGAGGGGTCGGACCTTAGTAGGTGCTTGCTGCGAAATCGAACCGCCGGAAGCCTGGACCTTCTGCTATTAGGGCCCCAAAAACAAAGCACAGAAGCAAAAATGCATAAGGATAGGGATATCCCACTATAGACCCCCTTATAATGAAGCCCAATAAGGTAGGGATAGCCCCATAAAAGGCTAATGCTTGTGTGCTTCGTGGGTCCCTAATGCTATTCCTTGCCAGATGGAAGAGGGCCGCTCTGTTGGGGGGCTCGAGCCCGACAACCTGAGGAGTTAGAGAGTTTAAGGGTTTGGGGGTTTTAGGGCCTGGGTGATTAAATATAGGGGCTTAAATTATTACCTGTACTATTTCAGGGCTTCCTCTTTACTTTTTATACTTGTAGTATAATATACCCCCAAAACCCTATTCTGATTCTTCAAACCCCTATATCAGAGTACCCTTGTAGATCCCTTATAGTGGCCCTTATATAGACCTCTTCAAAGGAACCCTACTCTAATTATTCGGGCCCTACATCATAGTACCCTATAGATCCCTTATAGTAGCCCTTAGACACACCCCTTTTAAAGGGACCCTTTAAAGGAACCCTACTCTAATTATTTAGGCCCCTAGATGACTTCCGGTTGCAAGGGTGAAGGTTATCGGGCTGACAGGAGCCTCCCCGGATTTTTGAACGTGCTGTGTGTGCTCCCCACTTGGTCCTTTGGGGTGAGGGGATTACATGTTCGATTTAAGGATTAGGGTTTAGGGTTTAGTTTAGGGGTTAGGGTTTAGGGTTTACGGTTTGACATACCTGGCCCTAGAAGCCTTGTTGGTTGTTCTTCAAACTATTTAAGCCCTTATAGACCCTAAACGCTGAAAGCTAAATCTTGGCGTTCTTCTGGTTGGCTCTGAGGACTTTAACTTCTCGGATTTCTCTATACATAGGAACTGTAATAAGGAAGCTAAAACTTTTGACTTTTAGGAGAGTCAGCCAAGATATACTGTTCCTCACACTCCATAAACCCTAAACCCTAAGCCCCTAAACCCAAAGGTATCTCGTGGTTAGCTGGCCGCAGTCTCCCCGTTTTTCTATTTTGAATGAACGGTCTTTGCTCGGCTCGGGTAGGAATGCATGCCGGAAAGCACGACAAGAACCCTGTTGAGATCCTGAGCCCTAAATCCCTAAACCCTAAACCAGTAGTAGAATAGCAAATCTTTTGGGTAGTATAGCCCCTATGCAATCCCTATATAACTAAAAAGGCTAACTTTTAGTTCCCCATAGGTAAAACCGCGGGCAAGAGACCCTCAAAAGCACCTTGAGCCTAGCAACGAGGGGCCGACGTGCAGGGGGCCTCTTTGGCTTTGCAAAGCACCGCTGAAGAGGATGAGAAGTAGCCGGGCCTTGCTGGGCCTCTTCTCTGCCCCACCTGCGTTTAAAGTTTATTATAGGGGCCTTAATCATTACTACGTATGAGTTATGAGTAGTGTTTTTCAGGCTTCCTGATTCCAGGTGTGCTCATCGTATACTTCCCTACATGATGCGCGGAGCTCCGGAGAGAATAAAGTCCACACTGGGGTCCGCGACGAAAAGAAGCACATCCGTTTCAGATGAGCTGGCGTGGCCCTGACACTCACAGCCGGGCTAGAGGATGCTGGAAAGGTCTGATCTGCTCAACGAGATCGCAGTGGCGAGCTGTCGGGAAGAGGCTCTTGAAAACTCGGCTGGGCCAGATGTCATCCACCGTACGGCTGGGCAGGGCAGGAACTGGGCAGGCCCTCGGTGAAAAGCACCACCCCAACACCCTGAAATTGGAATCGAGAGTGATATACAGGGCCCGGATAATTCGTAGCAGTATTCCTCATGGTGCAGGCACTATATACTTGCATAATACCCCAAGCCCTGGTGTAATCATTAAAACAGAAGGTATGTCAGCTATATAAAACCTGCCGCAAGACCCTTATACCACCCTGCACGGCCGTGAAGCATCCGCTAATGCGGGGTTTAAAGTTCGCCGTCCGGGCCTCCGGTATGACATGATGCAAGAAAGAAACATGCATACACTGGCTTGGCGTTCTTCTGGTTGGCTCTTAGGACTTTAACTTTTGGGGTTTCTATATGGACTACAATAAGGGGGCTAGAAGTTTAACTTTTAGGAGGGGTTCAGAAGACAGCCAAGCTGGTAGATTAGACAGACAGATGATCCAGAGCGAATCCAGATGTCGGATGGCCTCCCACTGGCATGCAAAATCCGATGCACTTCTGCCAGTAATTTGGAAAGCATTGAGGCTAACAGCCCTGCACAGGTTATGGTAGCGCGCATTTCCCTTGAGGGCCTGAGAGAAGTCGCCAATTGTGGGGATTGCTTCGAGCTTGTAAACCCTAAGCCCTGAACCCTTAGCACAGCTCTTTCAACTGTTGCTTCGGAGTTACCCTGCAATGCGGGCGTCGTCCTTGCTAGGTAGGAGGGAACAAACCCCAAGCCCTGAACGCTACACTAGTACTAGTATTAGTTATACTATTAGTAGTAATATTTGTATTGGTATTATTACTATTATAAATATTCGTATTGGTATTAATAGTTTGAGCTCGTTGATCGCAGTCTCAGCATCAGCACCAGTCAAGGCCGTTAGCTTCATCAGTTCCACATGCGATAGCCAAGATCTGTTGGCGATAGGGGCTGGGTACGGAAGCTTTAACCTGTTTGTCTGCCCTATATATATATATATATATGTATACAGTATACACACATACATACGCCTACATCAATTGATGGCGGAACCTCTTCTGGGCTAGGGTACTCAGCCCCTAAGAAGAGCATATCGGATCGCTACTGCTGTGACAAGTAATGGACTCGGTGTTCCCGTGTCCGCAGAGTTTGAATCAGAGGCTGGTTGCCATGGTTTGGGGTGCTCTGTCACTTGAAGTCACTTGAAGCCCCGTTGTCAACCCGACAGCCTTATGACAGCTTATCGAACCCGTATGAAACCCTGCAAGACTTTGGTTAACTCCATACAAAACGTTCTATAAAGCTCTGACTAATGAGAAATGTGTCGTAGCTTCAGTACTTCAAGTTCGACTGGGCTTCCAAAAGTCGGGACCAGCATTGCCGCTTTTCCAATGACCGCGGCGGGCACTCTATAACCTGCAGGTGGTGAGGGATCGAGGTGCAGGGTTTTCAGCTCCCCAAGTGCATGAAATTCCCAGCGCCGCCGGCACCCGAGACATGACGCCTGCCGTGCCACAACAATGGCTACGTTTGCTTGTGCGGTTTGGAATCCAGGGTTCGGGGGCGTTCAACAGCTCCCCTCACGAAGGGTGCTAACAACGATATCTCAGCAGTCATTATTGCAAGAGTAGAGATGATGGCCTTGACTGCATGTGCTTGTGGGGTTCAGCACGAAGAACACGCGAACAAATCGACAGCATTAATATAACATACCCATAGGTTCCATAGTAGTTCCTTTTTGGGATTACCTTATAGGACTCCAAATATGAATCCCCAAAAGGAACTGCCATGGCATACGTATATGGGCAGCGACGTGGCAATGTAAAAAGCAATAAACCCTGAAAGTCCATGCACCCAAAATAGTATATACTTAGGGCCCAAAGTACCCATCTAGGGACTACTTTAAGGCCAAAGTATGTACCACTTGGGTACATGGAACCTTAAACCCTAAACCCTTATGGAAACCCTTATTGCCTCCTCATAGGCACCCTTTGAAGGAACCCTTAGGGTACTATTTGGGCACATGGACCCTTAGGGAAACTTGGCTAGGCGAGGCCGGAGCAGGATTTGCCAATTTTGTTTGCGGTTTTGTTCTGAGGTTCTCTTTGAGATGTACCCTTTTTAAGGGGATCTATAGGTGATACGGATACTTTAAAGGGGTTCCTTTAAGGGGAACTATAGGGTTTAGGGGCAGTGGGCACTTTAAAATTACCCTAGGGTTCCTTCAAAGGGTTCCTTAAGGGGATCTA